CCTGTGCGCAGACAGCAGCCCGCCACTGCGTTGGCGTGCGCTGTCTGGCACGGGGTCACTGCCGAGGCGTTGCTGCCGCTGCGTGCGGCAGCGCGGCCACGGTCGACGCCCTGTCGACCGTCCGGCAATTTACTCCGACCGAGCTGACTTATACTAATATGTTTAGACATGAAATGACCTTTAAACTGAAATCTTACTGAAAGAGTTGGTCGGACCGAATTCTCGGCCGTGGCACTCGCTACATGCGGAGTCACGGCCGTCGGCCGCCTCTCGACCAACAAGCAAGCAACTCGGCCGATCTTAACTATACTGAACTTAATATAAATACTTTGATCAAACATGTCCTGAAGTACACCGAACACCTACTGAACACAAAGATGGCCGTGACGGGCGCCCGTGCCCACCGACGGCTTCACGCCATTCTCGGCTGAACTACCAAATTATCCGACAATTACTGAACACTTCAACACGATTATAATACTGAACCCAAATAAAGCTTATTCACACGAAAGAATTCGGCCAATACTGAAACAATAGGCCTCGGTCCGCGGCTACCCGGACTACGCGCGATAGGCGCGGGGTGCCGGCTAGGGCCCGGTCATCGGCCACACTACAACTTATCTCAACAATTTACTCATGTTGAACTCAAAAATAGTCTAAACTGAACATTTAAAAGCTTATTGTTCGAAAGTTGTCGGAGGAAATTAAACTTTGTTCGGCGGAAATTTACATAGGCTTGAGCACGGTTTAGAACAAAAATTCAAATAAATTTCTAAAATTCTTCCGCACAAACACTCTAAATCAGACTTATTAACATGATTTTAACACCAGGAAGAAATACCTTAACAATCGCTCAACTGAAAATCGAAAGTGCGGTGTACTTCTTCCTCGCGAAAGCTCCGTGCGGTAGCCTCGGAATTGTCGTGCGATTATGGTGAGAATTTAAGGAAAACGATGGAACTAAAGGAGCTATTAGAAGCTGATATAGATTGCTGAATCTTATAGGGAAAGGTGGTGAAATTTTCCCAATTGCCCTCTTTAAATAGACACACGGCCGAGAGGTTAAGGCTACCTCACACGGACGTGGCCTTCTTCTCCAATTGGCACTTGGCTTAAGCTCATGCCTAGTTGGATGACTAAGCTTCTCTATTACTTGACAAGTTGCGAGTTTCTATTGGTTAATAAACCTCTCTTTACTACAAGGAAAGCTCACGGTTTTTGGAGAATTTTGGGAAAATTGTGGTTAATGCTCACGGCTTTAGGGCTTCTTATACTACTTAATGTGATTAATCACAAATTAATCACTTAAATGATGTTTAATTGTTAAATTAAACATACTACTTAATTACCAAAATTATTTCGGACGTAAACGGAACGCCGAAAATCGATTTCGGTAATCCGACTGAACTTAATTTAATTCTGAAAATAGTAAACGATAACGTTACTATATCGAAATTAAACGTATTTTATACTGATTAATATCTCGGGATATTACACTGCATTTTTCTGCTCAGACTGGAAATGGGTTGATTGCCTACAGTGATGCAGACTGGGCAGCTTGCAAAGACACAAGGAGGTACATTACTGGATATGCCATCTTTCTAGGAGGATGCTTGATTTCTTGGAAGAGCAAGAAACAAACCACTGTCTCAAGATCTTCTGCAGAGGCTGAGTATAGAGCACTCAGTTCTACTGTGGCTGAGTTACTATGGGTTACCTACATTCTTCATGAGTTTCACATTGATGTGCCTCATCCCATTCCTCTTTGGTGTGACAACAGGGCTGCTTTACACATCACTGCTAATCCGGTTTTCCATGAGCAGACTAAACATTTGGAAATTGATTGCCACTTTGTGAGGGATAAGTACAAGTCTGGTTTCACCCATCCTATGCACATTTCCACTAAGTTTCAGCTAGCTGATCTATTCACCAAAGTGCTCACTGGCTCTCAGTTTCAATCTCTTGTGTCCAAGCTGGGCATGTTGCTCTTCCCTTTATGCCCAGCTTGAGGGGGGGCTGTTGAAATGGTGCACTCAATCGTGCATGGTGCAAGGAAGAACAAGTGAAGTCATGCAGCTGACTACTTTCTCTATTTTCATTTTTTCTTATTTTTCCCTTTTGTAAGTAAAGTCGTGTCGCGTCTTTGTAAGTAGAGTATTGCGTTTCTTTTATTTCCTTTATAGCAAAACGATGTCGTTTTGCTTAATGCATGTGTGTCGTGTGCGTGTAGCCTATATAAGGCAGTACTGTTCATCTCCTTCCTTTTAGAGCTAAGAGAAATAAAAGTTTGTTCCCAAAATATCTTTACCTAGAAATCTGAAATTAAACAACACCTCTGTCTTCCCACGCTCATCGATCTCATACTCCCAAGCAAAATTTTTGTAGTGTTTCTCATCCTTTGCTAATTTATACTGGCGACAGAAACAACTCTTTTTGCCACAGCAAACTCCTTTGAGATCACAAGCACTAATAAATTATAGTCACTAGTGATTTATACATATGGAGATCAAGAAGGCATTTGGAGCTCTCTTTCTACTGCTCACTCTGCTTCTTTCGCGTGTGTCCTTTCATTTTGCTTTAAGACTTTGATTTTTGATGTTTAGATTGAACAAATTTGAAATTCATATACAGATACTTGCAAATAACTAACTGGCTCATTTTAATTTGTTGAAATAAATAATAAATATGCAGAAGTGGCGGTGGACGGAAGAATGTGCAAGTCGAGGAGCCATAGGTACAAGGGGCCTTGTTTGCAGGATCACAACTTTGTTGTGGTGTGCAGGGACGAGGGCTTCTCGGGGGGTAACTGCAAAGGGTGACGTAGGCGTTGCTTTTGCACTAAGCTCTGTTAGTTCTAAGTGGGAGGAGATATATAATATAAATCCCATATTGTCTTTGCTTTTCCTCCATCGCAACTTTTCGCATTGCTTTTCGAGCTACCAAATGAAATATGCGTTTCGGGTTCGAGTTTTGGGGATATTGTTGTTGAGTTTCCATCTTCTGGACAAGCATTTTTCTACTTTGTTGGAATGTAATTTGGCTTTAACGTTTGCCTGTCTCCTACTCTGTTCGTGTGTTATATGATTAACTTTTGCAGTACATCTACATCTTATCTGCAATTTTGGGGTAAAAGGCTTTGTGCCTTAATAATTATAATGTAAGAGAATAGCTTATGGTAAAGCAAGAAAAAAAATCAACGTTAAGAAAAAAAAAATAAAAAAAATATTATGCATGTTTCATCATCTTTTGCAAACTTTTTCAATTTTTACTTTTCTTACGAAACGATAGGAACATTTATAAATGACACAACTATTTACATCTAAAAATAAGACAAACAACTGAAAAACCAGCTATAAAGTCGAATTCAGGGGGAGGGCAGACCCGAGGGTTGCCTAGAACCAACACTAAATTAAGTAAACACATAACTCAAAAGCTCCAACATTTTTTTTTCAAAAACTCCCAACATGAGAATAGACATGTTCCTACACGGGAGAAACCCAACAACACAAAAAACACAAACAAATACAAAAAATAAAACTAGTTTTAAACTAACGCCCTCCTCTCCAGCAAAACAGAACTCTGGACCGACCCTCCAAAACTAGCACCCAAGCAACAAAACAGAAGAGACCCAACCCACAACCCAAACACACGGGCCGAGAAGCTCCCCCTCAGGCTGACTCGACCCAGACTGAGGAACCAAATTTCTCATGAAGTACCACCCTAGGCAACACGAGAAGACCGGAACCTACGCCCTCCCTGCCACACCCACCGCCTGCAGAAGTCCAAAGGCCACTGATGGCCAAACAAACGAACAAACGAAGACAGGGACATGAAGCCCCATCCTCAAGCCAACGGATGCGCACCCTGACCACAACAGGAAACCCGAGCCAACAGCCTCTCACACCACCACTGTCACCACCAGGGGCTCAGACCGAAGAGCTCGAGACCCCAACCTCAAGTCGCTGGCCAACAACAACCATCAGCTCAAAATCAAACCTACGCCCTCCCCCACCGCCACCGCCGGTGGTCGCCGCCGAGTGACCACAACTATCGGAAGGATCCGATGTCCTAATGCTAGGGGCAGCTGGAATCGGGGAGCCTGAGGCACCGGACTCAAGCCTGGTCCTACAAAACCATTAGCTCAGACTTCGTGCACCATTGGCAAGCCACCGGCCACCCACCTACAACCGCTATGGCATTCGAACAGGACGAAATCCACTCGGTTGAGGTGCCCGAGAGCTCGCCGAGACACAACCTAAAAGCGACCAAATGTCGGCCAACACGCCGGGTGCAACACACTCGCTGAATGAGAGGCATCAGAACAGTGATAAGGGTTTCAAATTTGGGTGAAAATTGAGACCAAGAGAGAAAAACAGAGCAAACTTTTTCAAGTTATCTGAGGGTTTCTATATATTACCTTGAAGGATATTAACGAGGCCTATCTCTATAAACTTGTTAACCATCCAGAATTAAAGATAAAAATCATAAATGAACATAAACTAAAAGGCACATGATCGAAACTTCTCTTAAAGGTTTTCATCCTTACTTTTTACAAAAGAAAAATGCTACATTACCAACGTAGTGTACAACTAGGTTGACAACACAAGTGAAAACATCTACTTGTGTATTTTTTTTTTTTTTTTATTGTTTTCACTTATATTGTCAACCTAATTGTATAATAGGTTGGCATGCACCGATTTGATTAGTATTTCATAAGCAATAAATCGTCCTATCCTGTAAATATCTGGTTATCAAAAGCTTATTTATCTCTCGCAGTGATGCCGCTAATGAAGCAAAAAAGTCATATTTCATAAACTTAAAAAGAAAATCTGCGCTTGAAAGAAAACATTCCAATTTAAGAATTTATGCAAAAGTTCCAACAAAGTGAAACTGACATATATCTACACAACCAACCCAGCAAACAAAAGTCAGAACATAAAGAGAAAAAAAAAAAAAAAAAANNAAAAAAAAAAAAAAAGAAATAAACTATGGCATTTGAGTGCCTCGAGTCGGACGGCAAGCATGGTTCCTCTTGCGAGCGTGTTCTTCGTTGTGATGCTGTGTTCGACAAGCGTAGCCATACCAGCAGTCTTGCCTCTCCACTGCTTCTGGAGGTAATAACTAAATACACACCAACCAATGCTTTTATTAATAAAGATTTCATTTACGAGTATTTTTTATTATTTTAATTTCTTTCCACATTTCATTAAATCGAAAGCTGCAGCTACAAAATAACGAACCGAAACCACATAAAGGAAGAAAATGTTGAGACTAACAGAAACTTACATGTTTTGGCAATGTGATCCGGAACCAGTACAAGAGAAATGAGACTAATTTCTCGTAGCACTCACTGCAATTCATGTTATAAACCGTGTGATTAATGAGTTTTTGGACTATTAACGTGCTTTCAACAAATACAAAATTACAAAATAAATGAAATTTCAAAGGATAATGTTTTTGAAGCTCCACCTACTCCATACAAAATGATGCAGCCTACGGGTGGGTCATTTATAGCTTCAAAAACTACTTTCCGAAATGCTTTTGCCCAATCAGTTTCCATGATGCAACATGAAGAATCCCTAGTTTTTCACGGATCAATCCTAGTGAAAATGTATCTAGGCCATTGTTTATTAAAGCTCTATGTTCATTTTAAATATTTACAAGGTATCCCTATTCAAGGAAAGCATTCCAACATAGGCCTTTCATTATTTATTGTTAAGAGGAAAAAGAAGGGTATATAGAACAAAAGCAGAATAGGGAAATTTGTTGACAAATGTTAAATTCAAGTGGATGTCTGGAGATTACCTGCAAACGTGTGTCTGAGAAGTAATCATATCAGGGTGATTCAATGGAAGCCGGGTTCTATCTGAAGGGGTAAAGGGAATATGTTAAAATAGATAATGCTCAATCACATCCGCCAAAAACCCATAAAACTCAGATAGTCTTAATGTACTAAATAAAATTTGTCAAGAATGAAAACGTCAACGGCCACATCCCCGGGTAAGTTGCCAGAAAAATTGAGTTAGGTGTTCGAACGTTCTGATTTAACAAATATACTAAATAGTTACAAATAAACATATATTATATATAAAGGTAAAGAATTGGAACTAGACGACAAATGTCTCCTCAATAGACAACAAAAAACAGAAAATACATCACTGTGAAGTTCAGCTTTCCACCACAAGGTGATTGATGGTCTATATAACAAGAGATAAAACTTTATTCCCAACACGAACTTACAAGAATAATGATGAAATCAGTACTTACCGACTTCTCTGTTGCTAAATTTTCTTATCCATTCTGAAACCACGTCTTGAAAGGATCTTCCCATCTGCCTGATACATTTTTCTGTTATCTGCAGGTATGGGATACGTAAAGTGAATAAGGGAAAAAAGACAAAAAGGAAAAGAATGTCATCATGAAATGTACCGTACATCTTGTTCGTGCCTATTTTTTTCGTGCGCGAAAAAGGGTATCCTTGTTATGGTACGATCAGCAATCTGTGACACGAAGCAAAAAAACATAAAATTGCAAACACCAACATGTTTTTCAGAAAATCAAATAAAAAGTTGGGATGAGAGAACTGGTCAAGCTACCATCTTGGAAAAAGCAACCATATTAGAAAATCTCTCACCCAAAACATTTTCCAAGAAAATGTATATTATAACTTTCCAAAGTATCATCCATACAAATTTACGTGTTCACAAACCATAATTGACAAAAAAAAATAATAATAATAATAATAATTATATATAAAGTAACAAAAATAATTTCACAACAATCAGTAAGGGGGAATATAAACTGATCTCACTCACAGGTTTTAAAGCATCAGGACTGCATGCAGGATAGGCCTCAGAAGGGGCGACTCCCAGAGCATGCCAGTAGGCACCACAAAACGCTCGATCACATCCTAGGCCTGAAAGAGAGGAAACATTTTTTTATTAATCAATAATATGTTGAGTTACATAATTAAAAAGTTTCTTGCGACCTACACAACTCAAAAATAATATAATCAATCAAGTGTGCTTAAATTGCTGGAATGCATATTTCTAAAATTGGATTAGATAAATACTACATAACCTACAAGTGAAATAAAGAATGATGAAAAAAAAAAAGGCGAGAAAAGATTAAAACTGAGAAACAATAAGACTAGATATATTAGAAACTCCTGCTACCAAAACACAAAAAAATCCAATCCAGGAATGAATATACTAAGCAGAAACATGGGTTTACAGCTACATTCGGGTCAGAATCATATTTTCCAATTACTAAGTAAATTATCTTTCAAGTTACAGTAAATACGCTACCAGAAGTAAAATATATTTTCCACGAGAAGGTCGAAAGTCATAGAGGAAAAAACAAATATTTTCCATTTTTTCTTCTTTACAACTTTCTGATATTCTTAGAAATTATGGAAACCAAGCACATGCACTCATTTGTTCCACGTCAAATATTCAGAAGTCCACATCTAAATGCATCATGTAAACATTGTAAAACTTTTCTACCATCCGACTATACGAACATCATTGTAAATGATAAGTATATGGGTAAATTTGGCAATAAATTACAGTGTTGCGGCACAGCAACATTTGATCTGGAAGGCATCATTCCACCACATGATTGGCATTGAAGATGAACAGTGCTCTCATTGCACCGGAAACCAGAGTATTCAGTGCCTGAGACATACATACAAATGTTCGTAACAAAATATAAAATGATATAGAAATTAGAAACATAGGGGAAGAGAGAGAGAATACACAATCGTTGGGGCTAAAAGAAAAGACATAACACAGACGCTATCATGGTCTTAAAAAGGTTGCCAAAGTTGAACTAACATGGATGTGGGTGTTATTACTAACTAACAATTAAAAGTATGGCAGTGATAGGATATGGAAATATTTCATTCTTGTCTCGTTAGTCAAAATCTATCTCATTAAGATGTGAACTTAAACCCAAAAAAAATAAAAATAAAAACAAATCATCCCATCTCATTTCATTTTTTTCTACAATCCTACCAACACAATAAGAAGATGAAACATTATTGTATGTTTCCCAACAAATAACACCATTCACCTAATCACATATTTCTAACTAACCATCACTATCAATCTTATTATTATACTTCACATCAACTCTAATTATTATATTTTTATCTCATTCATTCAAAATCACAAAATTAACTCATTCTTTTCAAAGCACTTTCATATCTAAATTCAGATGACACAAAATTTTTCGGAAAATTTCCTACTCAATTGCACCAGAAATATTATAGAGTTCCACAATTAAATAAGTTATACCACATTGTGGGCATGGAAAATCTCTATCATTCTCCTCATCAAGTAACACACGAGCCCTTTTCCGCTTTAGTTTTTGTCCACTGCAAACAACCTATAATACGATATTATTAATCAACGAGTAAATCAAACCTTTGCAACTGACCTCAAAGAAAAAAGTTTACACATGAAGAATGTTTTTTAATCTAAGACAACAAAAATGGAGCATATTGATATATGATTAGCAAGAAAAACTTGATAATGCTGATAGTGAGCTTTTTTCCTAGTAGTGTCACTTTAGAGCTAATTTGAACATCCAAAATACACTAATACCAAATGCATAAGTGATTTCCAATTTACAAATCATGACAATTACGAAAGCAGCACTTGAGAGTTGGATCCTTTTCTTCAAACATAGAAATTCTACAATATAAGTTAAACATAAAGCCCTGGTCAGCAACAAAATATTCAGGTGCTGAAACGTAAAGGTAATAGCAGAACACGAAGTAGTGTCACATTGAGATTACTTAACAAAGTAGTAGAATTCTGTAAAGAATAAAGTAGCGTCACATTGATAATCATCGGTGAAGTATAGCATCCTGCAGGCTTGCAGAATAGCACAATAACATAAATTCGTGAGAGTATACACGCAGAGCACATTCCTTAATAGTATATAAATGTAGAGCTCACAGCATGCATGTACTTGAATACCAAATAAAAAGCCCTCTGAACTCTTAAGAGCAGAGAATATATATAAGTTCACTTGATCATACTGGGTCTCCATTGGATAAGATATCACGAGACAAAAATGTAAAACTTACAAGAGGTGACTTGATTGATGAACATGAATCTAAAACTGCAATCTCTTCGTTTGAGCGCCTGAGAGAAGAGTCAGACTGCAGTATATCCTGCTCAAAGACAGGAATTGTTTAAAAAACAAAGTAGCTTTGCCAACAAAAGATATTAAAAACTGAAGTTTACGCGTTCAAGGGGGATAATAAACCTATCGCGTTAAAGAATAACTAGGCACCAATATAAAGTTCAATGTAAAATTTAACCACTGAAGGTTCATGAAAATAAGTTGTAACCTTCTAGATTCTCAAAGTACAAAAAAACATAAACCTTCACAAAATATGGATTCATAAGATGGGACCTCGTAATAATAGAACTACAGACTTTTAACGATCTAAAATTAGACAATCTAGACAAACTAATAACTGCTCTGAAAATCCTATCTGGTTACCTACTCAGCTATATATATTAACGCCTATCAAGCAGAGCCAGAAAAATAAGAAACATTAAAGAGAACAACAAACCTCTTCAATACTATGCAAAAAATGGTTTTTTCCAACAAACTGTACAACTGCTCTGCATTGAGGACATAAAACACTAGAACGTTTCGCTTGACACCTTTTCAACCATTCTGAGAAACATCCATTGCTGTAAATAATGAATAGATGTTAAAAATCGTCTGTGTCAAAAGACAATTACAAGAAGATAAATAAATCACATACCAGAAATTGTGAAGGCAGGGTGCGACAGTCACAACATCATGCCAAACATTTAAACATATAGAGCATTTGGCATGCTCGGGGTCTAGAAGGATCTACCAAAAAAAAAAAAACTTAGTTGACATTTTTCCATTACTAGAAACAGAAACAAATATTACTAATATTCATACGACAATAATCAGGCACGACTTTAGCTGTTGTCTACCTTCAGCTGCTTCTTGCAAGGCTCCTCTTTAGGCATTACTTTAAACATATACCTCATATATCCTGATAGCATAAAACGAGGAGATTTTTTTCCATGTGTTACAAGATAAATTACAGTTTAACGTAATAACGTATGGAAGTTCCAAGGCAGCAGTTCTGTTGACGTTAAAACTTCTTGTTGATGGCCCCAGACACAAATTAATAATGTTAATTAATATGTGGCCTTCGGAGCTTTGGAGAAAAGGTTAAATTTGGTCAGTGGTACTTTCCACATTCTTTCTTAGACAAGATGACAAATTGGCAAAGAGACAACATATTCATTTGACCAGTCTACCATGACATGAAACAAACACTTGTTGTATTCTACATTGGCAATTAAATTGATAAATATAGTCTTGCTTAAACTTGAGCAAGCATTTACTTCCAGTTGCTTTGGGCCTGAATTCAGACTCCATCGTAATTAGGAACCAAGAAAGCTACTTTATGCATGCACTGAAGTTAATGTTTTTCAGCACCCGATAAAACTATTAAAGGAGCTGTTGGAAAACACAGGTCTATATTTGGTGAATATGTATTATATGTTATGTTGCAAAATATAGAAAGGAAAAACATCTTCAAATGATATATAAAACTTTATGACATAGATCATTGTTGAGTGTTAACAAATTGCAAACATTACAAAAATCAATTTAGATTAACGGTGAGCATGTGCCATAATAACATTGGTTTAATGCAAGTTTCATCAGTTTCCACAGCCACAAAGCTTACGGAACGATAATGCTTCTCAAAATAAGTAATGTTATTAGAAGTAATTATGATTGTAGAGAATAAACAGTCAAATTGACATTTGCAGAATTTTCTAGAGTTCTGGACCATGTAAAGCTCTTGAATCTTTCTAATGCTTCTGTTCCCATTTCTCATACAATTGACAGTTTGTTCAATCTCATACTGGCAGATCTTAAACATAAAAAAGTTTCACCACTAAAGAATTAAAGATGCATTATTTGTTTTCATGGACAGAGGTAGCCACATTAAATGGTGGCGGCTCGAAGCATCCAACTCAACCATAGTCCATATACAATTATTACAAGATCAGAATGCTTACCATCAGCCTCAGGACCCAGGATAATTTCACTGCCACATCTTATGATGGCCGTATCATCTTTGTGAACAACCGAGCCATCAACAAGGATTGGATCAAAACTATTTTGTTAAATACCAGGTGTCAAGGACTTGAACTTGAAATTATGGATAAAATGACAATTACCAAACCATTCCATGAACTATAACATAACAAACAGTTCCATCAAATATAACCATAAACCGATGTAGTCTGTAAAAATTTGTAAAAGGACACTACAGAAGCAAATCAAGGAAACTATCCTAACACGAAAACAATAAAAATGCAACAAACATGGACATGCCATAATGCACAAATGCACAGAGCATCAGGAAGTTGCATAACTTGCAAAGGTAGCATTTTCCATTTGAGCTCGAAAACTTGTGATGACTTCATCATAAGCAACTGAGTTCTCACATCAATCATTCTCTGATAAGATCTTGAAAAGGAATAATTAAAAGCAATCGGACCACCAAAGAAAAACTATAGCCTACATACAATCGCAGATAAAAACGACACCCAAAAGAATGTGTGTGCATCCTTGTCTAACATGTCACAGTACCATCCGGAGAGAACTTACACACACTTAAAAAAGATCAAATCTTGAAGTGCTATGAGACATACATTTTTAAACTACTAAATCAAGCAACATACGTCACACAATTCATGTACCTCTTGTTCTGTATTATGGCCGAACTTTGATCCTTTTCCCTAGTTATCTTGCACCATTCTTGCTTTTCACTTAAAGAACTCTTTATCTCTGAGCAGACTACCACCTCAGTTGACCGCAACTCGATGTCCAAGTAGCTCGAATCCAGTGGCACTGCAGAAAGATGGTAGTGACATCCAAATTACGGGTATAAATATCACAATTGAGTAACTAATTACACTATAAAGTAAACATGATAGGCAGATGATCAGGTCACAACTCAGACCAATGTTCCAAAAGAGGACATGCAAGGAGAAAGAGTCCCAATACTTTTGGGACCCTAAAGATGTGAACTTTGAATCAAAATTTGACTCGGAATGAACACAGCCAAAGAAATTCACAAAATATTACTTATTTCAAGTATTCATAAAACAGTTACTAATCATTTTAGGGTAGGTTTTCTTTATTATAATTGAACACTGCATTTTGTCACATAAATGCTGGAAAAAAAAATAAGGAAGCAGAAGAAATAGCGATAGTCGTCATATTCGCTAAAGAAAATTAAGTAACAATTATTTTTCTTCCTTTTTTTGTTTTTGCCGCTTTAAATTTTACCTAGTTTAGCCCAAATGACATCTCCGGTGGAATGGTGGGAGCCGGAGCTTTCTCCTCTTTCCATTTTCTTTCGTGTTCTCTACACAATTCTTGATTCTGCAGAGCAATTGCGAAAACGGCAGTGGCCAGTGGGGTACAGAGTCCGAAATAAAAATTCATACTTATATAAAAAACATTAAGACGGTTTGGATGAGATGGTTTGAGTCTCTTCCAGCTTAATTAGTGATCTCGTGTTCGAGCCCTGAGAATGCAGTGTTAAAAATTCTTGAGGGAGAGCTTTGCCGCCCTTGTGGTTCTACCCGCCTCAATTCCGGATTAGTCGGTTAAAAATTCTTGAGGGAGAGCTTTGCCGCCCTTTTTTCTACCCACCTCAATTCCGGATTAGTCGGTTAAAAATTCTTGAAGGAGAGCTTTGCCGCTCTTTTGGTTCTACCCGCCTCAATTCTGGATTAGTCGGTTCCCCTGTGGATCTGGAAACCGGAAGGTCCATGTACCAAAAAAAAAAAAGACATTCTATTTACTAAAACTAGTGCGTGCCCCGTGCGGTGCACGAGAAAACAATCGTTTTTAAATTAAACTCTGTTTGACACAGTCCGACTTGATGGATCGAGAACCGTTATACAATCAGTCTAGTTCGCTTAATAAAATATTTGTTATTGAATTCGTCAACACCAATCAGTTGAACTGGTATGATTGATATGATTTTCATAAATTTGGCTACATTTAAAATTATTTTAAATAAAATTACATAGTTAAATAAAATAGAGATTTATAAATTATTTATCAATTAGTTTAAATATTGGAATTTTTAAATTGTTCAGATATTTAAGTAACACGTTTTATTTAAATTTATTTCAAAAAGTAGTATATATATATATATATATATATATATATAAGCATATTTTCAAAGAAAAATAAAATTCTATGATTTTTAAAAAATTAAATTGTATCATTAAATTGTATGATATCACTACTTATTGATACACACTCATAAGTTCTCTCTCAATTCTTTTCTTTTGGAAATTGATTTTAGTTATTTATGGCTTTATTATAATAATATAAACTAATTATGCTTATATATATTAGCAGGATTAATAAATTTGAAAAATAATAGTATAATCTAAAAGATCTTTTTCTTTTTTTTTTCCTCTTTTTGGCATTAATTATGCAAAATATACTTGATACATAATGGTTGTATGTGAGAAACTTTTACCCGTGAGATGTATTAGACATGCAATTAATTATTTTTTACTTTTAATACATGTAATTTAGAAGATAAATTTAGAATGCATTAATTATTTTTGACTTTTTTTTCTACTAATTTTAGTAAATTGGATGCTTTTTATTTAAGTACTAGTGCGTAACCCGTGCGATGCACGGAGTGTATTTATTTAGGGAATATTACATTTTAACATGTATAAGTAAATAAGAGAGTTATATTAGGTAGGCACATTGTACAATCAATAATGTTCGACAAAAAAAAGAATCATACATTATTAAAGACTTTTCTGTACACAATATTATTTGTTTGATTACAGGACAACTCTTCGTTCGAACATAAATATAGATTAATAATTGACCCTTGTTAACAGTTTACCTCAATGTAAGAAACCCATTTTTTTTTTTCAATTATTGAAACATTATTCTAAGCCCAATTCATTAAAATATATTAAACAAAAAAAAAAAAAAAATCAACATATTGCCGGTATAATGCATAAAATATGTGGCATTTTTTCTTTTCTCATCACATTCGAAAATGAAAGCCCAATAATAATAATAATAACAATAATAATAATAATAATAATAAACAGATGCAAAGAGAAGTTGATTTCGGCCCTCTATTAACCAAAAATAATGCCCAGTAGCAATCTTCATTATGATAGAACGGTTTCGGAATAAACTGTACGAATAGTAAATTATGGGAAGTATAACAGGTCATTTTTTTCGAAAAATTAGGGTGATATCATTTCATCTCATCATTTTCTCTCTCATCTCTCTTGTCTTTCTGTATTTCACGCACTCACTGGGAAGTTGCACTTTTTTTTGCCGATACAGTTAAAAATTCTTATATTTTAATTTACATCTCTCATCTCTGTATTCTCTATCTGCTCTATTTTTAGGACAACGTTTCTTCATGTTTGTGTTCTCTTTTCTTGCACATAGTCGGGTACCATCTTTTGATTTACATCTCTTGTCTGCAGTTCCTTATTGTGTTATATGTATCCTTCACTGGATTTCTTGTTGTTCAACATAAATTAAGAAATTCATTAGGAACATGGTGATGATTGAATATTCAATAGAGAGAAACTGAAGTATAGCGGTGTTCACCGTCCGGATTGGTCTGTTTTTAGCCTAAACCATGACCAAACTGGACCTAACGGTAATTTTTTTTCTTGTCCATAATCGGACCGGTTTATTTTTTTAACCGTCCACAAACCGGACCGCATTTGATGGTTCGGTTTGGCGGTTAACCGGTTAAATCCAAAATTCTTGTTTTGGGCCTTCAGTTTTTTTTTTTTTCTATTTTGGGCATAATTTTTATTTTTCAATTTGGGCCCAGAGATTATTTGGGCCTAAAAATTAGAAAAACAGCAATATTGAAATAAAAAATACACAATTTGTCCCATAAGCATAAAAATACACATTTCATTCCATAAACATGAAAATACAAAAATGATGAAGATTGAATTATGCAAACTGAACCCAAGCAAGCATTAATTTTTCAGTCAGTTTATACACCTGAAATAATAAGGGCAAAACATTCATCTTTCAGTCACATCCTTCTTGTTGGGGACTTGGATTGGATGTATATATATATATATATATATATATATTTGTTATAGTTTTTTAATATTTACCGGTTCGGTCCGGTTAAACCGGCGGTTTACCTCAGGTAATCCGTTAACCGGACCGGTTATTCCCGGATTTTTAAAATAATTAACCACCGGATTTTTTAAGGCTTTTTTAACCGACCATTTAACCGATTCACGGACCAGATTGACTTTTTTTTTCGGTTAAAACCGGACCTTGAACCCCCTATGAAGTATAAAGGTTGAACTAATTGTCATGAAAATTTTGTAATCCTATTTTATTTTATTTTTTTTAAAAAGGTAAAAACATAAATTTGTACATGGGTTTTTGTGACTCTAATATATATGAACGATCACTTGGATAAAATGCAAACAAAAGGTAAAACATATTAGTTTTTAGTTTCATATATTAAAAATTCTAAACTAAAAGTTTCGGATTATGAAAAAAAATAAAACAAAAAGCGAACACAATGTTACCTTGAAAAAGATTTAGAGTTACACTAATTTAAATTGATAAAGAAGAAAAGAGATGGAGAAATTGAAATATCACCTTCAATTCCGTTGAAAACTAAATGACAATTGCTGTTTTTTTTTTTTTTTTTTTTTTTTTT